ACTTGCAATACATATATCTAACAAGACTGCATCCAGAAAACAAAAAGAACTACAAATCAATATGAAAAGTAAACAGCATAATTTTTTAAAAGAATAAAAGATTTAATACTTCAAAAGCAGAAATCCAAGTGGCCAATCAACATGGTGTCCCTAATATGAAAAAGTGCCCAACTTCATTAGTCATCAGGAAAATAAAATTAAAACTACAGTGCAAAACACTACACACCCTTCCAGAATAACTAAAAATACAAGTTAAAAGAACTGACAATACTAAGTGTTGACAAAAATGTAGAAAAACTGAAACTCTCCTACATTGCTGGTGGGAGTGTAAATTTGTAAAACCACTGTGCAAAACTTTAACAGAATCTATTATGAATGAACATACCATATAAACATAACCATGACCTAATAATCCCACTAAGATGTATACACACAAAAGTGCATGTTTACCAGGTAAAAACCATAACAAAAATGTTCATAGCAGCAAAACTAAAAACACCCAAATGTTCATTACAGTAGAACACATAAACTGTGGTGTATTCACACAATAGAGGACAGCAATGAAAAGGCACACAATACAACGTGGATTAATGTCACAATTGTAATGTTGAGCAAAAGAAGCTCAAATAAGACATGTTAATACATGACTCTACTTACAGAGTTCAAAAACACACAAGTTTTCTACAGTGTTAGATTGCAAGGAGCACAGGGGTGTGGAGAGTGAGAATTGCCATACCGCTGTTTTACAGCTGCATGCTGATTACATGAATGTGCCTATTCTGTGAAAAAAAGTTCAATGACATGTAAGTCATACTTCTTTTTAAAATCATACATTGAATGGGGTGCTCAACTGGTGGACCAGGATTTCTAATCCTTTCTTATCATCAAGATTCTTCACCCACACCATGGTCAGAGACTTAACTGAAACAGTCCTATATTACGCACCCCCCTTCAGGATTTAAACATCAATATCTTTGTCCATGTCTACCATATGCCAAGCACTCTAACATTCATTTATTCAAATACCTATTGAATAACTACTATGTGTAACCTGTGCCAGCTACTTAGGGTACAAGAAAATGAGGAAGACATGGTCCCTGGCTTAATGTCTATCATCTTATAGAAGACCACATACACAAACTACAAGGTAAATATATAGAGATAAGCACAGGATATTACAGGAGCACAAAGAACCATCAAAACACTCTAGGGGAGGAAAGACAGTAGGGTAAGCTTCTTGGAGGTGTCAACACCTGAATCTTTAAAAAGTGAGTAGGAGTTATCCTGACAAAGTGCATTCCAACAGAGGAAACAGCTTGGTAAAAGCACAATGATAAGAAATAGTACAGTGTATTTAAAGAAACAATGAACAGCTGCTAGATATTGCTTAAGGATAGTAAGGCAAGAACTGGGATGTGTGGGGGGAAGTGGCCAAGGAGATAGGAAAACGCCAAGTCACGAAGGGAGTTATTAGACCTTAACCAATTGACTAGATCAGACAGTGAGGTTTATGTAAAGAAATTATGTGGTCAGAGAGATTATACAGGGAGCAATGCAGAAGATGGTGTTAAGGGGGATAAGGCTGGCAGAAAGAAGGCCAGTTAGGAGGCAGTTATAACTGTCCTGAAGGAGATAAAGGGGCCTGAAATAATGAAATGAAAGCTGTCATAAATCTGGAGAAAATATTGAGCACAGACATATTATGCAGCTGGTCTAGAGATCATACTTTAACCACGCTAACCTACACTAAGGGTTGGCAAATTTCTTCTGCAAAAGACCAAACAGAAAGGATTTTAGGGCACATATGGTCTCGATTGCACTTCTTGGTTTTTGTTTTTTAAACCCTTTAAAAATTAAAAACCACTCTTAGCTAGTGGACTTTATTTTTATTTTAAAGGCAGCAAGCTGGATTTGTGAGCGCAGTTTGCTGATCCCTTTACACCCGTAAAGAAGTGAGGATTAACCTTGCTATGAGATTAATTTTCCTAAAATGCTACTTGAGTTATCAGTCCCCTACTCAGAAACTTCTCCAACAGTCCTGACTGCCTACTGAAATCAAATACCTATGATACATAGCATTCATACACCTCTATACTCTAGCTCCAAGCAGGCAGATGAACTACACCCCTGTGTAAATCTTCCATTCTTATTAAAGTGACCTACTTACACTTACCTACCTCTGTATCTTTGTTGTGTTCCCCCATGTTCTTTCCTCCGTTCCACACCTACACAAATACCCTTCCTTCAAAGCACAATTCAAATCCTACAATAAAGTAATTCCACCCTCCTTCGACCTCCTAAAAGCACTCTCAATTATTCTGATACTTACTTGCTGTGTTGAGCCTACTTCAAATAAACTGTATATTCCTTCAAGGCAAGGAATAATGTATACTTCTCTCTACCAATGGATCTAGCTTATAACAAGGGGTAAATAAAAATGAAGATATATGTGTATATGTATGTAACATACATATGTATATACACACACAATTCTTTTTCTAAACTAGCGGTCTACAGGAGCCAATGTGATTTCACCCTTACCTTGTATCAGTAATTGAACACTAACTCCACAGACACCATTTGAATGCCACAGGAACCACAGGGTAATAATCCACAAGTACATTATTCTCCTACTACACGTTTTTAGGACTAGTTTATTAGGGAAACAATAATAATAGAAGTTGAATTTTTCCAATGGACAATGTTATCAATATAAGTACATTGGGATAAATATTAAATATAGAAGTTACTATACCAAGTCAAAGTTAACTTACCTTTTTTATTTTTAAAATACAAAATAAGATTTTACAACTACATTGTTTTAAATTCACCCTTAATTATTACTCACATTTAAAGTCACACACATGTACATATACATAAAACACACACAAAACCCACACCTAATCTGAAGTTTTTTTAACAGTCAAGTTCTCAGTCACAATTCAGATTACCAAAATGGCATTGATTTCATTCAGAATTTAGGAAAGAGAATATATTTTAAAATTTTAAGAAAATAGTCCATTTTAGTTCACCACTGTTAAATAGCTATCTACAATCATACACTGTTTTGAGCTGGATTAACAGATTCTTCCTCTACTTGAGACTACTGAATAAGTGTTTTTCAAGTCTGAAGTATGAACTATGCCTTATTTTACTACACAAAGAATGTTCAAGAATCTATAAAGATTCCTCCAGAATCATTTGCCCACATTTAGAAGCCAACTAACAAAAAAGTTTAACAGGAAGATATTTTAAAAAGCAAAAGAAATTAAACAAAAGATGACCATGAAAGTGAATATTGAGACTTTTTAACTTTTCAAAACACATTGAAGAAAGCTTAGTAATTTACAACTCTGAAAAGACTGTTATTCTTTGATAAATTTAGCGTTAATAATGCACTCATTGGAAGACAAACCCAGGGACCAGGGATTCCCATTTCTCGACTCCTGTTCTGCCACTGACTTAGTGTGTGTTGGGCGCATCCCTATACTGTGAACAAGAAAAGCTTAACTGACATCCTAAGGTTGTGATAATTGATTAAATGTGTATGAAGTACTCTAGAACTGTGAAGGAAAGCCACTGTAACCATTAAATGTCATTTAGTTAATACAAAACTGTACCTCTCTGTTGGGCTTGTAAATCCAATCATCAAAATTCTTTTGTGTCTTCTTACACAGCAAATCTTCAGTGAGTCAGTAAAGTACATGTATTTAATGAGCTAGTTTAACAACCTCAGAGAAGGGACTTTTCTTCCAAATCTGTGTTTGCTCACAAACTCTGTCACTATCCAACAGAACTATTTGCAAAGGGAAACATGATCCGACACACATTAAAACTGGGTCTAGTTATTGATAAGCCGATACCAAATGACTGAAAACTATTGGAAATCACAGTGGAACTTTGTTAACTTAACAGAAATGTGACGCCTGAAAGTAATCCCAGAAAACGGTCATACTAAAAAAAAGAGCTTTATTAAAGGGAAAGCCCCTACACTTTTTTAAAGAGCTGTAAAATGATTTTAGGCAGTGTGGACAGAAGACGAAATTCGCTCAGAACCTAATCTAATTTGTCAGGGAGCTCCAGCACCTGCTAGGTGTTTAGCGACTAGAGACTGATGAGTTTGCTCGCGAAAAGCGCTGATGCCATCTCCAGCTGCCCCTCTCGTGAATGACAGTAACAATGCAAACACTGACAAAGAGCTGGGAGGCTACCCCGAGCCTCTGCCTAGCAATACTTCTCCCTACCCCCAACACACAGAGTACAAATCCCAGCTAAGGCCTTCCTCTCCGGACCTCGCCCGCGGAGCCCTGGTCTCTAGTTCGGCGACGTGGGCAAGTTCTCCCGTTCGCTCCGTTCCAGACAGCTGAGCTCCCTAAAGGGGAGGGGGCGCTGCCGCTCTCCGAACTGCTGGAGGGAAGGAGACACTTCCTCTCCGCAGACGGCGGGCACGGGCGGGTGTGCGCGGACACACTCGGAGAACTCCCGGGTCTCGCACCGCCGGCGCGGAGGCACGGAGAGGGGAGGAGAACGCGGCCCTCCTTCCCCAGGAGGCCGGTGGGTCGCCCAGCTCCGGGTGGCGGGAGCGGGGCTCGGGATCCCGGCACACGGTCTTCCCCGGGGTGGCAGCGTTCGGCCGCCCGCTTCCCGGGAGCCGGGGGAGGAGGCAGCAGGTTCGGTCTGGGGCACAGGCAGCGCGTTCTTCCCTTATGCCCGGTCTCGAAGGAGGGGGCAGGCGGCCGGGCGGCAACTCTCCCCATCGCCCAACTCAGGGGTGAGCGCGAGGGCGACTGGCCCCGGGCTGCTCGGCGGGATGCCACCACGGTGGGGGAGGCGGCGACGCCGGCCTCGGGTCCGCTCCCTCCCCACGCGGTCCCCGGCGGAGGCCGTCCGCGCCCAGGTCCCTCCCGCCCCGCGCGGGGCAGGGCCGCCGACCTCGGCCGGGCGGGCGCGGGGCCAGGCGGCGGCGGCGGGCGGGCGGGCCGGCCGGCCCGGAGCCCTACCTGAGGCTGTGTACCAGCTCCCGGCGTGACTGGCTTCCCGGCAGACCACTCGGTTGGACATCTTGGTGCCTGTGCCGCCTATGGTGCACGAGGATGAATGAGGAGGCGGCGGCGGCGGCGGCAGCGGCAGGAGCGGCTCCGCGAGGGGACGAGACACCGTGGGCCCAGCCCAGGAGGAGGCGGCAGCGGGGAGGGGATCAGCCCGGCCCAGGAGGAGGAGGAAGAGGAGGAGGAGGCGGCGGCGGCCCAGGAGGAGGAGGAGATGGCAGCCAGGGCGGTGGCAGCAACAATCACCTCACACTCCGGCGACCGCCGGAAGATGGGGCCCGCAGCGGCCTCACCGAAGCCCGGAAAGCCCTGGCCCGGGCCCCCAGAGTCGCCGCTGCTCCCCAGCCGGGGCTGGTTCCGCCGAGCCGTCCCCGCGGCCCCCTCCCCTCCCAGCTGGCCTCCCGGAGCCACCGCCGGTGACCCCACCCCCGTGACTCCGCGCCCGCCCCCTCCCCCCACCCCCCGCGGGACTCCCAGCACCCACCCCCACCCCGGGCCAGGCCCTGCTGCCCGCCGGGCCGCCGGCCTCCTGGCCCCGCCCCGCCCCTCCTCCGGCCGCGCGGCGAGGTTAAAGGCAGAAACCGGACAGGCCAGACGGCATCTGGGGTCGAGCGGCCCCGCGAGGCGGCGGCTACGGCCGCCGCAGTTCCGTGCACACAAAAGCCCAGGGCCGGGGCCTGAACCGGGGAAAGCAGACCCGGAGAGGAGCCAACGCTTCCTTACTCGCCACTCTAACGGGTCCTGCCCACTGAGCATGCCCAGCAGCCGCTGCCAGGCCCGCCGAGGAATCTCACTGTGCACGCTCCGCTCTCCGGGCTTTAGAAGCAGCAGAGGCCGGTGGGGAGGGGGGGCGGGGGGAGCAGGACGCAGCCGCAGGGCAAGCCCCCTCCCCCAGCCAACTTCCTTAAATGAAGAGCACCGGGGGCCCGCAGAGGCAGCTTTCCACCGGGAAAAGTCCGCCATCTACCTCCTTTCCCGTTTTATACACAGGAATTCTTACTGCACTGGCAGCCCCAAGGTTTCACAACTAGGGACGCCAGTCTGCGGCACAGGCAAGCACATGGTAGTTCGCCTGTGGTCCGGCAAACGCTGCTTTTTGCTTCACAGAGCCACCTTCACCACCCAATCTTGGCTTTGACACTGTAAACATTTACCCTGTTTCATGTTTACCTGTAGGTGCATGTCTTCACTCCCTGACTAAAGTGTGGTATAGCTTGCCTCAGTTTTTCTCATCTACAAAATGGTAATAACCCCCAGGGTGTCCCTAGGATTACAAGTTAATACACAGAAGGACCGAGTACACATACAGCAAACATTTCCAACCCTCCATTATTTTATCAACCCCAGTATTCCACGTAAGGATCAGGGGCAAAAAATTCATTTAAAATTATATGCCCTAGCTGGTGTGGCTCAGTAGAGTGAATACCGGCCTGCGAACCAAAGGGTCGCTGGTCCGATTCCCCCGGCACATGCCTGGGTTGCGAGCCATGTCCCCAGTAGGGGGCGCGCGAAAGGCAACTGCATCAGGATGTTCCTTTCCCTCCATTTAAAATAAATACAATCTTTAAAAAAATAAAATTACAGAAGAATCACAGCAAAGTAAGATATCTTGGACCTCCCAGGAAGTGTTGTTCTGAAGTAAACCATTGCAAAACTGGGAAGAGAGAAAAGAGAATGTTGTGTACCTTCAATGAAAAATTGGGGGTTAAGAGCCATAAAACTGTTGTATCAGAATTTTACAGTAAACGATCTTTGGTAAAGTCCAAAGCAGAAAATTAGCTGACATTCCAACTGCCTAATATCCAAGTTTCCCTAGTGCCGTAATAATACACTTTAAAAAAAAAAGTTACTATCCTATTCCTACACCTCACACCTTTTTCAGGCACAAGGTCTTGTGGGAGATCCCACTCCTAAACCCTGGTCAAGTACTGGAACACTTCTGACTTTCACGCATTTTTCTACACTGTTATTAGGCTAACATATCTCCACTGAATCTATATATTTCTTAACTAATGTTTAAACCTCTCACTTCACCACCAACCTGCCCATATATGAGATGGGGGGGGGGCGGGGAAGAGTGCATGCCAAGTAGGGATTAACAGAAAAGGAGGGCTGGAGCTCTGATTCTATGGTAACTTCCTGGAGTACTAAAACTCAGTCATAACTGATGAAATGGTAAACTTTTCATTGTAAATTTCAAGAAAAGGAAACTGCTGATATGGTTGGTAGAGTGTTCTTTAACAGGTGATAGCTCTTGAAGTTAATTATTGCTGATTCTGTTTATATGGCCTAAAAAAGGAGGGGAGGAGACACTGGATACAATGAAGCTTCCTATTTCAGGCTGGTCAAATTAGAAAGTCAGATCTGAGTCCGTCTGATCTGGGCATCTAGTTATTTAACCTTTTCAAGCCTCAGTTTTCTCATCTGTCAAATGCAAACAGCAGTAATATCTAACAAGCTTGCTATAAGAATAAAGGTAAGTGAAAACCATTTATAGCTCTTCTTTGTTATTATCCTGTGCTCCTAGCAACAATCCTGAATGTCATTCTAAACTAGTAATCTGCCCTGGCCAGCATAGCTCAGTGGATTGAGCACTGGCTGAGAACCAGAGAGTCACAGGTTCAATTCCCAGTCAGGGCACATGCCTGGGTTGCGGGCCAGGTCCCCAATGGGGGCCACACAAGAGGCAACCACACATTGATGTTTCTCTCTCTCTCTTTCTCCCTCCCTTCCCCTCTCTAAAAATAAATAGAATCTTTAAAAAATAAAAAATAAACTAGCAATCTAATTTAGAATTAAGTTTCCATCCTATTAAAATGCTCAGTTGGAGGCTTCTTTCCCCAAAAGACTTTTCTTACTAGTCAAACCCAGTAAATACCATACTGCCAAGTAAAGTGAAAGGTTAGAGGAACTTCCATTATTTCTAGAACACTCTCAATATATCCTACCATTACTACTCCTGCCCATTTTATTCTGACTACTTTATTCAAAGGCAGTCCCTTAAAAGAAGTAACTTGAACCTATTCACTTACCCACCTCCTTAAATTAAGACCTATATAGTGCAAAACACCAGGAGAAGCCTATTTGGCAATACTGTACAATTCCCATGTTATTATTAACAATTTCCATTATACTGTATCCTCCAGGGACTGGGTTTGACACTCCATAAACATTATTCATAGTAAAGGACAAGAAGGAAATCTTCATTAATAGAGTCCTTACGAGGCACAGACCTTTAATAAATAAGGCACCACTAGTTCCAAAACCCAACATTAATAACCCAACACATCTTCTGAAATAGCAGGTTGGATATTTCCTGCATCAGTCTGTACTAGCAAATGACCAGAAACAACCACAATGTTCATCAATATTAGACTTGTTAAATTAGGACATATCTATACATATGTACCCAATAAAATGTATGAGATGGTCCTATATACTGGTGTGAAAGTTCAAAAAAATTTAAAAAGCAAATTGCAGAACATGTAAAGTATATCATTTGTATAAAATACGTATTTACATTCTTTTTTAAAATGTTTATCTTATTTAAGATGCTTATTTTTTTTCATATCACTTACTGATTTTTTAAAGATTTTATTTATTTATTTTTAGAGAGGGAAGGGAGGGAGATAGAGAGACAGAGAGAGAAACATCAATGTGCGGTTGCTGGGGGTCATGGCCTGCAACCCAGGCATGTACCCTGACTGGAAATCGAACCTGCAATGCTTTGGTTCGCAGCCCCCGCTCAATCCACTGAGCTACACCAGCCAGGGCCAGTATTTACATTCTTGTACACTTGCATATACATGATACTTTTAGAAGGATATACAACAAACTGCTAACAGTGATTGTTAGAGATGGCTGAGATGCAAGAATGGAGAAAAGATTTAACCTTTTAATGTAACATTTTGTGTATCTTTTGAATTTTGTGACATATATACCTATACAAAAAAATAATTTGTTTCCATCTTTAGGTTTGATTTTTGGAATCTACATGGCAATATTAAATTGATCATTTTCAGATTTTATTTATCCACAACTGCCAGTTTCAGGAGCCCCCTAATTACTAAACATCCTGTATCAGAAATATATTCTAGGATACCACAGAGTTTTGAACAAATCAAGGCTAAGAGAAAGTTTGCATACAGATGCTTTTTTGATTTCAATTAAAACTGGTACTCTAACTTAATCTCAGTCAACTTTGCCTTTCTTCTTTAGAAACCAAACTTCTTAAGTGACATTTATTAAACACTTACTATGTACCTAACACTGTGCTAAGTACTTTACATATTTAATGATTTTTATAAGATGAAAATTTGTTCCTTTCCAATTTTTTGGAGTACATTTTGTACAGAAAGCTTTTTCCAAATTTATTGTTGATATTATTTAGGATTCCCAAAGATGAAATATAACCGAGTCAAAAGATTTAAAGTATTTTTTAAAGCAGACAACTTATTTTTCTAGAAGAAAATTCTTATTCATTAGTGACTACCCCTTTTATCTCTGATTACCTATTTTCCACCATATATAGGGAGGGCAAAACACAGTTTATTCTTGTATTATTATTTATTAATTATTATATTATTTGTATTATTATTGGTATTATTTCATATCCTTACTTATATCTTTTAGGAAATGATGGCTGGTAATTTAACCAACGATCAATGAAAGTAGATTCTTGCCCTGGCTGGTGTGGTTCAGTGTATTGAGGACCAGCCTTCAGAATGAAGGGTGGCTTGTTCGTTTCTGGTCAGGGCACATGCCTGGGTTGCAGGCCTGGTCCCCAATAGGGGGTGCTCAAGAGTCAACCACACACTGATGTTTCTTTCCCTCTTTCTCTCTAAAAATAAATAATAAAATCTTCCAAAAATAAAATAAAATCTTACTCTACCTTCACAGTCTGAAACTGAAATTTGTAAAAACAGATCAAAATACTGTATTATCAATATAAATATTTTAAGCTTTAAAAAAATCTGTTCGTTGTCATTTACGATTCCCTACTGTGACTCAGTTTTTCAGCTACCAGATAAAATGGCTTCTGCTGTACACATATATGAGCAGATTAATTCCCCCCCACAGAAAAAAATTTAAGCCCACCTGAGAACATTACAACAGAGTATAATATAGGGAAGGTAATATTATATTAAGCTGGATTTGAAAATTGTCCCAAACTTATTTCCCCTGTAACCTTCATCAAGTTAACCAAATCTCACTTCCCTCATCTAAAAATGAAGAATTAAAATTAAACCTGCCTCACAGAATTTTGAGGATTAAATAACAATTCACATTAAAAGTATTCAGCATGGTCCTGGACAGATAACTCAGTTGGTTAGAGCATTGTCCCAATATGCCAAGGTTGCAGGTTTGATCCCTAGTCAGGACACATGCAAGAAATCAACCAAGAAATACAGAAATTAGGTAGAACAACAAATTGA